GAAGTACTCAGGGCATGGAAATTTAAAGTCAAAGTTAGATAGTAGGTTGGAAGAATGAGCAAACAACAACAACAAAAATCCCACCATAAAAAACTATTAAAGTGACAGAGACATTCAAGATACAACCCAGAACAAGAGCAAAGACTCAGAGAAAAACACAGCTTGTGCAAAAACTAAACTAGAATTCCTGGAAGAAATGAAGCAAGAGGTTGTTGGGTTTTTTTTTTTAGGTGAGGCAATTGGAGTTAAGTGACTTGCCCAGGGTCACACAGCTAGTAAGTGTCAAGTGTCTGAGGCTGGATTTGAACTCAGGTCCTCCTGACTCCAAGGCCAGAGCTCTATCTACTGTACCACCTAGCTGCCCCTTTTTTGAAAGATTTTTAAATGTTTTTATAAATGAAATGAGTGTACTTGAGGAAAAATTGGAAAGAAAATGAGAGCCATGGAAGAAGGAATTGGAAAGGGAATTAACAGCTTGGCACAAGATACATAAAATCTTGCCCAAGCAACAAACTCTCTGGAAATTTGAATAGACCACATAAAAGCCAATGACTTCATGACACAATATGAAATAGTAAAGCAAAGTCTAAAGACTGAAAGCATATCAAAGCAATGTAAGGTATCTCATAACAAAAACAACTGACCTAGAAAACAAATCAAAGAGAAAGAAATTTAAGAATTGTTGAATTCTCTGAATGCTATGACTAAAAAAAGAACATAGACATCCTATTTTAAGAAATTGTAAAAGAAAATTCCCCAGATTTCTTAGAACCAAAGAGCAAAGTGGAAATAGAACAAGTTACTTCCTGAAAGAAAGGAAAAAAAAAAGAACCCAAAATGAAAACTCCCAGTAACATTATAACCAAAATCCAGAACTTCCAGGTCAAAGAAAAATACTGCAAGCATCCAGAAAGGAAGAATTCAAGAACCATACAGGCATAATCACATATGATTTAGCAGTCACCATTATAAAGGGGCAGAGAACTCAGAATACAATGAAGGCAAAGGATACAGAGGCTTATAGGAAAGAATTAACTTACTCAGAAAAATTAATTATAATTGAAAAAATTGACCTTTAATGAGTTAGAGTACTTCTAAGCATTCCTAATGAGAGACAAGGGGTGCATAGAAATTTTGAAGTGCAAACTTCAAAAGTTGAGAGACATAAAAAAGTAAACAAGAGCAAACAATAAGGGACTAAATAAGGACAAACTACTTCTACCCTAAGCTAGATGGTGCAGTGGATAGAGCACCAGGCCTGGAGTCAGGAAGACCTGAGTTCAAATGTGACCTCAGACACTTACTAGCTGTGTGACTCTGGGAAAGTCACTTTACCCTGTTGGCCTCAGTTTCCTCACCTGTAAAATGAGCTGGGGAAGGAAATGGCAAACCACTCCAGTATCTTTGCTAAGAAAACCCCAAAAGGGTTATAAAGAGTCAGACATGACTGAAAAATGACTAAACAACATATATACCCTCTGAACCTTATCATCATAATTATCATCATTATGGATAGAGGAAATCTAATTAGTCAGATGGCCTAAGAGTGATTCTACACTAAAAGGGAAAAGGAAAAGGAAGGGGAAACATTCTCATACAATCAGGACGTGCAAGTAAAAGTCTATGCAAACAAGAAGGAGGGAGTGTAGGGAGGGGGTGACACAAGCTTCAGAAGAGGGAAAGTACACACACATAGCCAGGCACAAAAATCAGTTTCATTCGATGGGGAAACAAAAACAGGAGAAGGGAGAGGGCAGGAATAAGGGGAGATTAAGGGAGATTAATCCTTAAAAAAGCAAAAAACAAATTCTGAGAATATACAAAATATATTGATACCAGCTCCTTCTGTGGTGACAAAGAATTGGAAACTGATGGGAGTGACCATCAGTTGGGAATGGTGTCACAAATTATGGTATATGAATGCAATTATACTGTAACTGTATTGCAATACCCTGTTCCTACTTGTGCATTTGTGTCTGTCTTATCCAATGCTGTAGCTCTGGATGTGTCTTCATCACATGAAGGGATTGGTTTAAGAGGGATACTTGCAGAAGTGAGGAGAGCAAGGAGAAAAATGTATATAATTACAAAAGAGTAAAGACAAACTTTGAAAGACATAGCAACTCTGATTGTGATCAAACATTATTTTAGGGGACATATGATGGACGCAAAGTGCAGATGGAGACATTTTTTAGAGATGATCAATGTAGAAATTTGATTTTGATCACCTATACATGTTTATAACAAAGGTTTTGTTTTTCTTTTTTCAGTGGTAGGAGAGAGGGAGCAGGGAGAGAAGGCAGATTTTCATTAATTGGAAAAAATAAAATTTAATTCTAAAAAAGAGGGAGTCATTTAACCTGTCAATGCCCTAATCAATTCTCTAAGGCAAGGGTTCTTAACCTGAGGTAGATGGATTTCAAGGGGGGGGGGTCTGTCAACTTGGATGGAAAAAAAAATGACATCTTTATTTTCACTAACTTCTAACTGAAATTTAGCACAGGAACAAATATTATTCTGAGAAGGGGTCCATAAGCTTCACCAGGCTGCCAAAGGCGTCTATTACAAAAAATCTAAGAACCCCTAACTTAAAGCTAAAAGTAATAGAAAATTTGGTGATCTATATTGCTGGAGGGACTTTCCACATCAGCAGTTCCTCACATTTATGAAATCACAGGTCTGAACAAAAAATTGAATACCCCTCAGATAGCACAAAGACATACAGAAATTGATAACTCTAGAACTAGGGGAATAGCATGATGTAGTAGATAAAACGAATGCTAGAGATATCTCTGTATTCTGCAATGTGAAATCTTTATTGTGTATTTAAGCAGGGTTTTTTTGGGGGGAGATTCTCTCTCTCTCTCTCTCTCTCTCCTCTCTCTCTCTCTCTCTCTCTCTCTCTCTCTCTCTCTCTCTCTCCCTTCCTTCCTCCCCTGCTTCTTATTTTAGGATGGGTGATTTTACATTAATGATTTCTCTTTCTCTTTCTTTTTTGCCCTCTCTGGCTTGGTAATGAGACCAGAGAGCACCTAAGTGACTATTGCTCTCATTGAGAGGCAGCATGATGTTTGTGAATAAAGGACTGGACTTGAAGTCTGGAAGACTAGAGTTCAGCTCATGCTTCATACACTTAATACCAATGTAGACCTGGGTGAGTCATTTAACTTGTCTCAGCCTCAATTTCTCCATCTGTAAAATGGAGATTATAGTATTTGTAGTACTTAATTCACAGGGTCATTTGAGGCCCAAATGTATGTATAGCACTTTTTAAATCTCAAAGTGTCATATCAATAGCAGTTTTCATTATTATTATTAAGGATGTCCCATATTATTCCAGGTTTTAATGCAATCAGTTCAATGTCATCTGCAGATGGCAGGGCTTGAGAGATATTACCATCTGTATGACTACTTTGGCTTTTCATGGGGCATTCCCCATGACACTGGTTTATATCCTTGATGAGCATTCACCTTCTTGTTTAATGATTTGCTAGAAGGAAGAGAATCACTAGACGAAGTTTTCTATAGCTGCATCTGTCAGCTGAATCTCATAGGACCTTAATATGTAAATGAGAGCTAAGCACCTCAGCCCTATTTTACTGAGACTCAAGAGGGTTAAGTGACTGACCCAATGTGACACACTTTGTATGTAGCAAAGTCCAGAAATGAACTCTATAAAAGAACTGCTAATCTAGATTACTATAGAAATTGGCTTCTAGGGTCTTAGACCTAAAATTCCAGACCCTGATTTTGAGGGATATGGCCCTACAAAATTTCTAAGAGTTCGTCTAATAATTCTTTACCTTTCACCTGTATTATTGTAATAGCCTCTTAATAGGCCTCTAATTTATCCTCTGTAAGTCTGCCAGAGTGTTTTTCCTAAGGCCTAGCTATGACATTCCCCTACTCAATAAACTCCCGTGGCTTCCTATTACCTGTAGAGTCAAATAGTAACTCCTCTGTTTGACCCTTAAAACTCTTTACAGCCTGACTCCAATCTACCTTAATAGCCTCATTACAAATTATCCATATTCAAGTACTCTTCACTCTAGCCAAACTGGTCTTCTTGTAGTTCGTCATGTGTGACATTAGATCTCTTGGCTCCATGCTTTTGTAAAGGCTGTCTTCCAAGCCTAGAATGCACTTCCTTCTCATCTTGGCTTCTTAGAATCCCTACTTTTCTTCAATGCTCAGCCTAAGTGCAACTTCTATATAGGGCCTTTTGCAATCCCCCACCTACTAGAGCCTACCTTCCCAAATTACTTTCGTGTTTATTTATTTGTTTTGTACATCTTTATACACATATATATTCCTAAACACCTCATAGCATGTAACTGTTTCATTTTTGTTTCTGTATCATCAGTGCCTAGAACAATGCTTGGCACAGAGTTGGTATTTAATAAATGTCTGTTAATTGATTGGTGGGGTCCCCACTGATTTGTGGGTCTCTATAGGGGTCAAAAGGTTGTCAAAGCACCTCAGGTTATGGAAGTGGTAGCCACTGATGAGAATTGGGTACAGACTAGAGTGACTAGACTATTTCTAATTTTAGAGTATTTCTAATTATGTATTAACTATTTTAATTATAATGAATATATTATATAATAACTATTATATATTATAACATAATATATAATACAACATATTATATATAATATTTTTAGAATTGTCCCTGATTATATATAATATATACTATAATAATATATAACATAATGTATATTATATATAATCGATTAATAATACATTATTAATTATGCATTATAATTTAATTAATAGTTAAGTATTAATAATTAGAGAGTTTCTAATCATGTGGTTCAGGGATATCACTCTCCCAACCCTTTGATCATTATTAGTGAATGAGAACTACTAGGAACGAGCTCTTCCCACTCCTTAAAACAAGGTCTTATAGGGACCAATGAATAGATATGAAAGAGATGCTTGAACTCAGACCACCAGCACCTAGGAAACTTTGCCTACCCCTAGGATGGCAATTTATTTACCTGGAACATGTCTCCATTGACTGTTGTCCCTGTGTCTTCAATACCTGCTGAAAAGAGACAGAGAAGACATAATTATGTAATTGAGCACTTTTTACTGTTCAGATTGGTAAGCTCATATTTTGCCCAATTATATGCCAATAAATCTGACAATCCAAGCAAAATGGGTGAATATTTACAAAAATGTAAAATGCCCAGATTAACAGAAGAGGGAGCAGAATACTTAAATAATCCCATCTTAGAAAGAGAAATTGAACAAGACACCAACAGGACCAGATGGATTCACAAGTGAATTCTACCAAACATTTAAAGAACAATTAATTCCAATACCATACAAACTATTTGGAAAAATAGACAAAGAAGGAGTCCCATCAAATTCCTTTTACAACACAAATATGGCGCTGATAGCTAAACCAGGAAGAGCAAAAACAGAGAAAGAAAACTATTTTCCTTAATGAATATTGATGCAGAATGGTAAACTCGCCCTGTTCTAGCATTTTATAGTACAGTGGTTGCCAAACTGTGAGACAAAGACTACTGAGAGCTATGGAGTTGCAGTGAGGAATCCATGAATTCATATGCATACCAAATGTTATTTTGATCTTTATTTAGCTCCAACAAAATATGAGGTATGACAGCATAAAAGAAATGAACCTTCAATAGACAATAAACACCAGGTTAGACTCATCACTCTGACACTTAATAGCTATGTGTGACTATGGGCAAGTCTCTTAATGTCTCTGAGAATAAGTTTCTCCATCTTATAGATGGGGACAATAATAGTTGTATGACTTATCACCTAACAGCCCTTTAATCAATCAATCAGTCAATCAAGAAACAGATGTTAAGCATCTACTGTGCAAAGAAAAATGAGGGACATACAAAGTTAGACAAGGCAGGTTTCCTGTCCTCTCAATATATGTATATGTACATATGCACATATATACATATATATGTATATATGTGTGTATGTGTATGTGTGTGTGTGTGTGTGTGTGTGTGTGTGTGTGTATATATATATATATATATATATATATATATATTTCTCTTCTTCAGAGAGCTGTTTGTTAAACATTTACCAGCAGGCCTCGATTGTATCCCTAGTGCCTAAGAGGCAGTGTGTCATGATAGATGCCTGACCTTGTAAGAAAGACCTTAATTCAAATCCTACCTTGGATGCATGCTAGCTGTGTGTTCCTAAGCAAGACATTTAATCTCTAAATGCCCCAGGCAGATCTCTAAGATTGCAAATTACAGAAAAGTCACTGTAGAGTTGCATTAGTAGAGCTTGTTTTTATACTAGGAATTCCATATTCCAGTGAAATCACAGGTTTTGACCCTTTCTTCTCTCCAGGACCTAGTACAATTTCTAACCATACACCCCATTAATATTTGAAATTGAAGGAGTTTATAATCTAATAGGGAGGTAAGACTTCAAAAGAGACACATAGTATTGAATAAATGAATGAATGAATGATAAGGATTTACTAAGAGCTTACTATGAAAAAACAAAACAAAACAGGGTAGCTAGTTGGTGCAAATGGATAGAGGAGCAGCCCTGGAGTCATGAGGATCTGAGTTCAAATCTGGACTCAGACACTTACTAGCTGTGTTACTCTGCGCCAGTCACTTAACCCAATTGCCTTTAAAAAAAAAAAAGAGCTTACTATGGGCTAACCACTTACAAACAGGAAAAAAAAACCCAAATACAAACAAATGAGACAATCCCTTCTCTCAAGGAGCTCACATTCTAATTGCAGGATCTAATGGAGAGAGATGAAAAGGCTCAGCGATCCTAAGGATTCAACTATAGGGTAGATGGCAAGGCTAGCGGTGCTTAGGATAGATCAGCAGAGCAGTGCCTGGAGAGTGTAACATCAGGGCAGATAGTAAGGTCCTCCATCTTACAGGAAGGATTTTAGTTGGTGACTTCCTACTCAGCCAACTAGTGTGAATGGCCTGTCTGTCTGGCAAGATGGAGGGTGGCTTGGAGGTTCCTGACCCACCACCATTATGAGGTACTATAGTAATAGTAGCAAGTAGTTGTTATTATGATTGTGATGATGAATGATAACAGAGGACCAGCTTTGTGGAGCAGCAGTCAGCTTTTTTCCCAAGCAATGAATTTAATCACCAATGTCAAGACACTTACTAGCTGTGTGACTCTAGGCAAGTCACTTAACCCTGTTTGCCTCAGTTTCCTCATATGCAAAATAAGTTGGAGAAGGAAATGGCAAACTTCTCCAGTATTGGTGCAAGAACACGCCAAATGGGGTCAGCCACAACTAAAACAACTGAACAAGTCAAGAGAAAGAATTCAGATTCTCCCTGCAGAATATGCACACTGATACACAGGCATATTCAGAGGTTACATGTACTGACATACACACATTCTGCACGATGGTCAGTACTGGGGAGCAGTCCTGCTCCGATTGACCTGAGTAATCAGTCAAAAGAAGTGGGAAGAGGTGAGTAATTTCAAAACACTCTAGTCCAGGATCCATGTATGTTTACCGATTAAGTTTGTTCTTTACTTTAGGAGTGTGGGCTGAGTCACGACTGAGCAAACTGATACTGATTGTCATACCCAAACATACGGTCTTAGGGAGTGACATGGGAGGGGCAGCATTCCTACAATCCTGGTAACAGCAAACAAGCAATTAGCAAGGGGGTGCGGTAGGATGGGGGCATCAAGAAATATGGATGTAGGCAGAAGGGTAATCAAAGGAACTCTTTCAGTAAGGGTTGAGCTATGCTTGTCTTCCTGCTGGAGGCACCCACCCATTGAGTTACAAACCCAAGCCTCTCATTCAGGAGGCTAAGGAATGACTTTCAATGCTAGACTTTTTTTTTTTAAGGCAATTTGAACTCAGGTCCTCCTAACTTCAGGGCCGGTGCTCTATCCTCTGAGCCACCTAGCTGCCCCTAATGATAAACTTTAATTAAAGAAAGTGAAGAGTTCTCAGGCAGGGTGGAAGAATCTATGAAAACCAGGACCAAGAAACTAACAAGCCAAATATACATACATGTATACATTCATATACATATGTGTATATACATACACACACACACATAGATGGGCAAGTAGGTGGCATAGTGGATACAGTGCTGGGCCTGGAGTCAGGAAGACTCATCTTCCTGAATTCAAATCTAGCCTCAGACACTTACTAGCTATGTGACCCTAGGCAAGTCACCTTATCCCGTTGACCTCAGTTTGGACTCATGTGGAAAATGAGCTGGAGAAGGAAATAGCAAACCACTCCAGTATTTTTGCCAAGAAAACCCCAAACAGGGTCATGAAGAGTAAGACATGACTGAAAATGACTGGACAAACACACACACACACACACACACACACACACACACACACACACACATATATATATGTATATATGTGTGTGTGTGTATAGAAACAGATATGTGTATGCATATTTTGTGTGTTCAGTCATTTATATATGTGCATGTATGTATATATGCATGTGTATTTATATGCAATCTGAAAATGTATAAGAAACTCTAAGTTATCAGAGTAACGAAACAAGTATGAGGTTTTCTTCTACAGAGTTTCCTGAAGAAGAATCAGTCAGTACTCCCTGCTTCATAGATGTTCCCAAGTAGAACTAAACCTGAAGTCAGTTCTGGGCGGAAGAGACACAAGAGGTGTCACTGACTCCCTGCTGAGAGACACAAAGGCATCCATGGAATCTCTACATGGCCAGTTAGGAAGTTTACTGTTTTGCCAGAGTGTTTTCCAAGGTATAACAAATCTACAACCATTTTCCAATTTAATAATCATCCTCCTTGACAGAAAGGTCACTTTCTCCTCAGGATTCCATCACTACCACTTCACTTAGGAATTCTTTCTAGTTCATCCGTCTTGTATCCTGGGGCTGCCACACACAACAAAAAAACAAAGTGGATGAAAAATGCATGTTGCCCAGGTCAAGTCATGGGATCAGATGGATAGCCTTTTGAATTACTCCATCATTGTATACATACCTTCACATCCATACACATGTACACACCTTCTCCTTTAGAATTTCTTCACGTGGTCTTTTGATTATTATGAATAGTAAGCAGCGGGGTGATTAGGCATGGTCAGACATGTACCTTTTAGTAAAGCAGACTTCAGGGAAATGATGAGTAAGAGCCCATGTGCAAAGATTCTACATGAGAAGGTAGGTCAAGAAGTAAGGGAGACTTTCAAAAACTAAATTCTGACAATACAGGAATTATTTCAACAAGGTAGAATAGCCATCCAAGGGCCTCGGTTTTAAAATAGTCATATATAAAGGAGTAGAATAATACCATGGAACAGTGTCAGGGAAGCGGAAGTCCAGAATGAATTATTCTACTCTGTTTTAATTCATGCAGGTCTTTCCAAGTTACCCTGAATTCTTCATTGTCTGACACTTATTTAACCACATATGTAAAATATTTTTACATCCATTATCTTATTTGATTCCCACAACAATCCAGTGAAGGCAAGCTAGCTAGGTGATGCAGTAGATACAGTGCTGGACCTGGAGTTAGGAGGACGTGAGTTCATATCCAGACACTTACTAGCTAGGTGACCCTGGGCAAGTCACATAACCTCTCTCTGCCTCGGTTTCCTCAACTGCAAAATGGGGATACCTCCCAAGGTTGTTGCGAGGTTCACACGAGATAATTGTAAAGTGCTTAGCAAGTGCCTAGCACACAGGAAGCACTTTATAAATGTTAGCTATTATTATTATTATTGTACTAAGAGATTTGCCCATGGCAAGGGTGGGGAACCTGAGACTCAATGTTCTGTGAAGTTTGGATTCAATCAAATGGCCGCACTTGAGGACCCAGAGGGTCACATGTAGCCAGGAGGCTGCAGGTACCCCTGGTCATACACCTCAGAGAGGTGGAGCTGATATTCAAAACCAGAGGGAATTGAAATTCAAGTTAGGCGAGAAAAGGAGAATACCAACATATACTAAATGAATTCACAGTTAGCAAGCCCAGACAAATGAAATCCCAGAGTGCTGAAAGAACTTGTAGGTGTGAACACAGAACTGCTGCT